TGATGTTGGTTGTGTGCACAGAGAGAACCCTGTTCAGGGAGTCAGACACACCCGAGACAGTGTTGGGAAAGGCCAGGAGAGAGAGAGAGAGAGACCCGTTGTCGTTCATTTCTGTTGCTATAAGCAAATGTGACAGACTGGGTGATTAATAAGGAATCAAAGTTTACTCAACCCACAGTTCCAGAGACTGGGAGGTCCCAGGTCCCAAGCCCCATCTGGTGAGGGCCCCCTTGCTGGTGGGAACCCTCTGCAGAGTTCCAAGGCAGTGCTGGGCGTCCCATGACATCAGGGCCTGGAGAAGAGACAGTGTCAAAAGTGGCTTTTGTAGGAGATCTGCTCAAGAAATAACCCATTCACTCACTAATCCGTGACCAGATTCATCCACTCGTGAGAGCCCTGCGTTTTGGCTGTGACCCAGTCACCTCTTAAATGTCCCACCTCTTACTACCTCACACAGGAATTAAATTTCAGCATGAGTTTTGGTAGAGGCATTCTAACCATGGCGCAAGTCTGCCTTTCCTTTCTTTTGGCTGAAGGCTTAACTGAAATTAATAGAATGTGCCAAATAGAATATTGTCAAATAACGTGATGCCACTTCTCCCGTTTACAGCAGTCATTCCCGTTCATGGCTGAAAGAATTGATGATGTGTCTTAATGGGGGGCATGGAATGGAGCAGTCCCAAATTTCTTTAATTGGTTGATTTCTTCAGCCACACTGAATTACTCTCTCCATCTTGTGCTGAAGTTCAGAATTCCATGATCAGAAAAGAAAAGCGCGTTCCTGATATAAATAATAAAATGTGTTCTTCCCTCAACTTCTCTATCCATCCTCTGGTGGTGGGGTAGGGAGCATGCATCTTATGGAAAGCCCATCAGCCAGCCTTCTGCTCACATGAACATCGCAGAGTAGTATTTGTCATTAGATTGTGCAAATCATTTGCACAGTGAGACTGAGGGCAGTGTGACAAAGCATGTGATAGATCGTAGAAGTCTCGCTGATGTCTGCCTGTCACGTTAGGCTTACAAGACCCAATCTTATCACTCCTGCCTGGGCCTCATGGTCTGTCTCTCTATGGCACTGGGAGTACCAGCTGCAGGGTTGTAGCTGATAGGATGGGAGATCTTGTAGCCCTCCTGTCATTGTCAGTTACCTGGAGAAACACGTGTGTGTTATGACTGTCCTGTGGTTTCTTTACCCAGTGTGGACAAGGCAGTGTGGAAGATGACCCCAGTAACAGCACTCGGGCACTTTATTGAGACGTGACTCAGTGTCAATTAGTGATCAGGATGCCGAGTTAACCGTGTCCGGTTCTTATCTCTTTATCCCGTCGGTGCGTTTTTGACAAGGTCAGCGCACTGACCACTTAAGTTTCTGAAAACCAAATGTGCTTTTAACTGCGAGCTCCAGTGGGATCTCTAATTTTCATTCTAAAAATAGTAGTAAAATTGAACAGCTTTGTCTTATGGCTAAGAGTCTGATAGAAAATTGATTGCTATAGGTTGAGCATCTTTTATCCAGGATACTTGGAACTAGAAGTCTTTGATATTGCAGATTTCGGAAAATTAACATATACATAATACGGGTGTGAGACCCAAGTCTAAACATGAAGTCATTTATTTTTCTTGCACCGTAGCCTAAAGGGAATGCTGTACAGTATTTTTGATGTACCTGTGTTTTGACTGACCTGTCGCATGATGGTGGGTGTGGTCGAATATTCCATTTGTGTCCTCAGCTGGTGCTTACAAAATTTTGGATTTTGCAGTGTTTTGGATTTTAGATTTTCAGATTAGGAATGCTATCAATCTGTAACTCTTTATTAATACTACCTGCTGGTAGAAGGCTAATATTTGTTTTTTAATTTACCTGTACCAATGTGAGGATTAGGTAAGTCAAATGAATTGCTAAAAGCTTCATAAATATATTCTGTTTAAGAATTTGTCTGTTTTTTTCCCAGTTATTTTTGGTTTTTTTTGTGGTTTTTTTTTTCTATCATTCCTCTCTGGTATACATATCTAGAATGTGGTGGAGACCATAGGTGCAGAGAGGAAGCTCAGGGTCTGAGTAGCAGGTGCACTAAGGGGCTAAGCAGATGCAGCTCCGGCTTCCCGCTGGGGGAGCTGGGAGTGGAGAGCAGCCTTGCAAGGAGACATGTGAGGGTCGGTGTGAAGTGGGCTGGCTTTGGGAGAGAACTGACTGCCTCCTGTCCACTGGTGACCCTGTCCTAAAAGAGGAGACTGACAGTGATGCTGTAGGGCTGAGGCTTCCCATAGCATCATGGGGTCTCTGAATTTGGGCTTACCTCATTGTGTTCTGACAACCAGGGCTGGGCTAGGCCAAAGCCGGTAGCCTGGAACTCAACCCGAGCCTCCCATATGGGTGACAGGGACCCAAGTACTTGAACCATCAGCACTGTCTCCCAGGGTCTGCACTAGGAGGTAGCTGGAGTCCAAGAGCCAGGTAATCGAACCCAGATCCCACAATGTGTGACGCAGGCATCTTAACCACACGGCCAGACCACACCTAGGTCTGTTTTTGAAATGCAAACGCCATCTGAGATGTGCCTTAGAGTCACACTGTTTGCAAGACCTGGGGTTTCCCACTGATTTAATCAAGCGGTTTTCCTGAAGTCCCACTTTTCCCAGTGCCCTGGGCTGGGTATGCCCATGAGACATTGCTGCTGCTGTCAGGGGTGGGGGCTTCTGGCTGTTCTTGAGCTGTGTGAACCCCCATTTGCCTGGCCAAGTGTGTGGCTCCTGCAAGTGGTAGGGTTTGGGGGAGCACACGCTAGGCACGGCTGCAGAGAAGGAGCTGAGTGGCGGGTGCTGGCTTCTAATTGAAGCGTAGTCAGAGGTCGCATGAGGTGAGACTGTTGTGACAGATTTCAAAATGGAACGATAGGAAAATGAGGTGGGTTCATCAGAGTCGGAGTCAATGCGGAGCAACAGCTTAGCAACTCAGCGGGAAACAACAGCTACAAAGCCTCAAAAAATACAGAGTAATTAAAATTTACCTCGCGCAGCCTCCTTCTCAGTGGGTGCCTTTCCAAGGGAAGCAGTAACTTTATTGTGAACGTATAAACACAAATTGGGAGATGTAAATTACAATGCACGTGTTAATCTTCTACATAAACATAGAAAGTTTTCGAAATGTAAATACAATCAGAGCTCACGACTGCAGCTGGAACCAGATTCCAAACAGGTGCTCCTGACCCGCCTGCCCCCTCTGTGCATGGAGAAAGGCGTGAAGACACAGACCTTTAGCCCATACTGTTTAACCTCACAGAAGGGGTACTACTTCCTGCCCCAATCTTCCCCCATGGGTTTACACATATGACGTCATATGACACATATGACATTGGAGGCTGGTGAGAGAGTGTGTGTTGGACAGTTGGCGGCAAGGAAAGGAGGAGGAAACTGACCCAGATTCTATCGGAGTTCATGTGTTATGTGTGAGTCTTCGCTGACCAATCAATTTTTAAAACATAATGGTTTCTTCACTTAGTTATTTGAAAGTGAGGTAAAGACTCCATCTGCTGGTTCGCTTCCCGACTGCCTACAGTTGCTGGGGTTGGCCAGGCCGAAGCCAGGAGCCAAGAAAGCACTCCAGGTCTCCCAGGAGGGTTGCAGGAACCCATCACCTGCTGCCTCCCAGGATGCACATTGGCAGCAGGAAGCTGGAATTGGAAGCAGAGCCAAGACTCAAAGCCAGGCAGTCTGAGAGAGGATTGCAGGTGTCTCAACTGCTAGGCCCAACACCTGCCCCAGAATTCTTTTATCCACCCCACCCCCTGAAGCATGCAGCTTCCCTTAATTTAAGCAGTTCTAAGAATTGAGCTCAGGCAGAGAGTATGAAAAAGTAGAAAATTTGCTGAACTGATAATGTTGGACAAACGTGTAGGTCCTTGCCCCGACTGCCTCTTGCCGCGAGAATGACTTGGGGCCAAGTCCCTCACTTCATCAGCCCACAGTTTCTGCATCTGTTAAGCCTGCAGTGAGTCCAAGGTGCTGTGCCATCCAAACTTTCTGTAGTGCCGTGCCCCGTGGATCCACTCTGCTCCACGCGGGGCCCTGGGGATCCAAGCCAGCACGGTGCCTTTCTTGAGTCCCCGGGCAAAAACGTGGCTGGGAAGATCCGATATGTTTCGCTTGCAGAGACCGTCTGTGCTGCGACGTAAGGCCAGGACTTCCTGGGACAGTTGTTGGGAGCCCCTTTTTCTAGACTCAGTTCTGGCACCTTCTCAGCTTTACAAGGGGCTGCCTCGTGGGCGATAAGCTGGCCTTCTTACCCAGTGTGGAGGGCGGGCTGTGTCAGAGGGATTGCTGTACCCCAGCAGAGGGCCTGGGGGTGCCAGGGCATCCTGGCCTCTGATAGATGCTCCCCAAGTGTCAGCTGCTACCTGAAGCCTCAGGGCCCCTGGACTCCCCGACAGCACAGAGCAGCATGGCTTATACAAGAAGGCGAAGTGGTCCCGAGGGGTGACACCCAGGGTGCCATGCTGAGGTTTCCTTTTGTGCCCAGGAAACCAGTGGACCTAGGCGTCGAGGACTGTGGACCTTCCCCGCCCCTCACCGGGCTTACTTAAGCTGTAGCAGCTTCTGCACCCATCACGTCCATGGCACGTGTTTGGTGGGCAAACCACATTCACCTTCACAGGGGGGGCCATGGGTGCCATGCTCTGATCGAGGCCTTGGTGGACCAAGCTCATTCCTGAGTTGTGTTCTGTACTCCTAGGGCCCCTGCTCAGCTTACTGTCCATGGGGCCTGAGCCCTGACACTCTAGGGCACGGGGGTATGGCACTCCAAGCCGGGGACAGGGGAACGCAGCAGGTGTAGTGGGAGCCAGCCAGCAGGGAACGGAGCTCTTCTCGAGTCCCAGTTTCAGCAACCCTCAGCCCAGACCCTCAGGCTTCCCCCCTAATTGAAAGCTTACTTGTCATCTTGTCTTTGTGACCCTAGGTTTCTTCCATTGGGCTTATTTTTTTTTTCTCTTTTCTTTCAGGAGAGTAGAGCTGGAGAAAGCAACAGCTGTGTTGAAGAAATAATTCGGGTAAGGATGTTCTCTTAAACATCTCTTGGCTGCATTGTCACAGGGAGCCATGGTTGGCTTGCTGTTCGGCATTTATGTAAATGACACTGTGTGAAATGCTTCTTGTAGAATCTTGTTTCCTCTCACCCCAGTGCCTTTGCACAGGCTGGGGCAACATGCTCTCAAACACTCAGCCGGAAGACAGAAGAACAGAACTCAGGTGACAGTTGCAGTTAAACTCACATTTGGATGCACTGTCTGTCTCGGTGCTACTTCCAAGCCTGTACTTTGCAAGTCAGAAAGGGGCTGGCTTGTGACTTTGCTCCTGAACGTGATGGGAGCCACAAGCCCCTGGCAGAGTTCCTGTCTTATTTCTCCATGGATCTGCCTGTCACTCTATCCCGTGTTGCTCTCTGCGTGTCTGTGCCTCCTGTCACCATTCCCTCTAGTGAAGACCCCATCCAAGAGCCAGCTTCATGCCCTGACTGAGCTAGGTGGGGCTGCGCCATCTTACTCGTGTTCTCCTGGGTATTCAAGCCTGCAGTCAGGACACCAGCATCAGCTCATGGCTTTTCTTCGCTCATACTTTTTCAGAGGAGTAACCTAGTGATTTATAGTTCTCAGAAAACTGATACTACACTGGGCGAAATACCAAGACAAATTAGACTACATGGTAGGGCAATTCCTTGTAAAAGAAAACACACACACACACACAACTTTATTTTAACATGTTCCCAACGTTTGGACATCCTACACACTTTTTTCTTGACTCACTAATGAGTTACAGCAATACTATATAATTTTGCATTGACAAGCTGTTTTTCAAAAGCAGGATTTTTTTTCTTTCTGGGAAGCATTATTCCATAAATAAATTGTTTAATTCTTAAGTTGACTAGCATAACTCATTGCATTTTTATTCGTTGAATGCAAACTATGTTTTCTTTTTGGCAGGGACTTTTATAGAAAACAAATGTCAAAGCAGGTCGCTTGATTTCTGGCACTTAAGTATATATTAAATAAAATCCATATTGCATTCTGTATCTCTGTTTCTCTGTTCTGTTTCAGGTTAAACAATGAGTATATCAGTAGTATAAGATGCTGATAGAACTTTGCCTGGTCTTTTTGCTTTCAACATACTTTCATGTTTGGAGTCCAAGGATTTTTATTTTTTTAGATTTACTTATTTATTTGAAAGAGTCAGAGAAAGGTATAGATAGAGAGATCTTCTATCCACTGGTTTGTTCCCCAGATGGCCACAGCAGCCAGAGCTGGGCCAGGCCAAAGCTAGGAGCCAGGAGCTTCATTCAGGTCTCCCACATCAGGGCCCCAAGCTTTTGGGCCATCTTCCAGTGCTTTTTCTCAGGCCATTAGCAAGGAGCTGTATTGCAAGTGGAGCACCTGGGACAGGAATTGGTGCCCAAATGGGATGCCAGCATCGCAGGCAGTGGCTTTATCTGCCTCTGCCACCACAGCAGCCCTGAAATAGTCTATTTTGAAGCCATCTTCTCTGATTGGTTGTCATAGCAGAACACACCAATCCCCCGTTCGGTTTCTCTAATGAGAAAAATTCTACTCACTGGTTTTGCTGATGGCACGGAATAAGTAAAAATCTGTCATTTGACCTTTCTCTTCCATTCTCCAAGCAGGGGTTGAAGTGTGAATGAAGACTTGAGCAATCTACTCAAAAGGATACGGTTTAACTAAAGTAAAATTCAGTTACAATAAAACCCAAGGCTGCCAGCAAGAGTTTGAAGCTTTCTAATTATTTTTCCTGCGGAGCCCTGATGACGCCTTATACCCCCCTTCCCCACTCCTGCCTTCCCACAGCTCCTCTCATACCTACCACTGCTGGCACTGCCCCTGCCATGACCTACCTTGAATCAGGTGTGGAATAAAGAGGGCAGGCGTGTGGTACAGTGGCTGGGTCACCAGTTGCAACACCTGAATCCCACATCCGGGAGCTTGGTTCAAGTTCCGGTTCCTCTGCTTAGGACCCAACTCCCTCGGAGACGGCAGACAGTAGCTCAGATGGCTGGGGCCCTGCTGCACACATAGAAACCCGGCTGCCAGACTGAGTTCCAGGCTCCTGCCTTCAGCCTGGCCCGTCCCTGACTCTTGTGGGCGTTTGGAGAAGGAACCAGTGGATGGAAGATATCCCTCCCCCCACTCCAGCCCCAATCTCTCTCTCTTTCTCTATCATTATCTCTTTACCTTTCAATAAAACGAAAAAGGGTTTTAAAACAAAAACTTCATGGAAAATACCCAGGGTCTTATGAGAGCTTGCTGTGGGGTCCATGTCCTACCTTTGGATCAAGAATGGGTTCCCTGAGGATGGGACAGTTGGAGGACCAACAGGGAGTCTGCCCCCAGGAAACCATGAGATGAGGGTTCCAAGGAGGGGAGACGTGGAAGCGCATGGCCTGGTCAAGGCCCTGGAAGGACAGGGAGGGCTGGGGTGGCCAGATCACAGGTAGTTAAAGCCAGGCCAGGGAGGGGAGAGGAGCAGAGCATGCTGGGGCCTTCTTCACCATGTGGGCAGCCTGTGAGGCATTTGAGCCGAGAATGATGCTGTCCCTACTGGCAATGGAAGCACAACCCTCTGGCTGCTGTGGAGACTGGAGGAGGAGGAGGGGGTGGAAGGCTATGGCAGGCAGGGAGCCTGGTGGTGCCCTCAGATGTGGGGAACTTCAGGGGAGATCCTGGCTTGGGTGGGAGGGAGCGGTCGAATCAGCTCATTTTTAGCGTGCAGAGTTTGATCAGCCTCTGAGACACTGGGGTGAACACGGAGAGCAGAGACCAGAGGTCCGAGCTGCAGGCTCACACTTTGGGTGAGTTAGCATAACATTGGTAGTAAAACCTTAGAAATAGGTACATACTTTTTTTGGAGAGAGACTGAAGACCACGAAGCAGTGACAGCCTCAACTTTGACTTGCGAAGGCCGAGGACGGGAAGATGCCTCTGACAAATAGCTGTGGGAGGCAGTGCTCAGAGATGCGGAGGGCAAGTTGCATAGGGAAGTGTCAGTGGTGAGAGAAGGTCAAGTTCAGTGTCCGGTGGGGGAGAGGAGGGAAGCTGCGGTGCTAAAGCCATCCGGTGGACTGAACAACAGAGGGGTCGTTGGTGACCTTTGTGAGTGTGGTTGCTGTGGTGCAGGGTTGCAAAAGGACAGGATGCAGACGAGAGGTAACAGAAGCCAGTGAGCTTGCAGAGCACTGGTGAGGAGAGCCTGCAGTTGCTCCTCCGCTCCCTGTGCACTGGCTCGTGTCCTTGGATCCGGTGGCAGTTACCGGATGAAGCCGTGCTGCCGTCTACGGAACACCCATCATGTCTGAGACACTGTTCAAAGTCTCAGTTAAGCTTCATGGCTGTTGTAGGAGGCAGCCACTGTTAACATTCCCATTTTGCAGATGAAGAGACTGAGCTGAGGGGAGGCTAAAAACATGCAGCTTGCCCAAAATAATGCAGCCAGCAGTTAGTGGTAGAGCGGGGATTTTTAACACAGGCCTGTGGCACCAGCCTAGTCTCTCTCGGCTACTGTGCTGTTTTCCTGAGTGCAAAAGTCCTCGTGGGCGTTGATGGAGCCACTGGGACCTTTTGCTGGGAAAAGGAGGTTTCCTGTTTCCACTGTTTATGCTTTGCAAGAACCAGGTCACGCGTGGGTGCCCTTAAACTCTCCTCAAACCTGTGGCCGTCATTATCAGCCTCATCTTTAACGTCTTCCTCTCTGTTCCCTTGTTTCTGCTGAGGTGACTGTTTGCAAGTCCTTTGAATATTACGTTATTGTTCTAATAGACCATTTTTAAAAATTTTTACTCAGAGAATTTTTTTTTTTTGACAGGCAGAGTGGATAGAGAGAGAGACAGAGAGAAGGGTCTTCCTTTTTGCCGTTGGTTCACCCTCCAGTGGCCGCCGCGACCGGTGCACCGCGCTGATCCAAAGGCAGGAGCCAGGTGCTTCTCCTGGTCTCCCATGGGGTGCAGGGCCCAAGTACTTGGGCCATCCTCCACTGCACTCCCTGGCCACAGCAGAGAGCTGGCCTGGAAGAGGGGCAACCGGGACAGAATCCGGCGCCCCGACTAGGACTAGAACTCGGTGTGCCGGTGCCGCTAGGTGGAGGATTAGCTTAGTGAGCCGCGGCACCGGCCTACTCAGAGACTTTTAATTCTAGGATCTAATACATTTGTGTATAATTGCAAAATTAGATCGGGGTTCTCTGAAGATGGGCAGTAAGGGCTAGAAGCCCCCATGCCTGATGTGTTGCTAGCAAGAGTTTTCTGAGTTGCTGTATTTCATCCTTAGAGGTTCCAGTGCTGTCTCGTGTAGGTTCTGTGATGGCATTACTCATTCACATAGTATATTTCTTCGGCAAAGTCTGTTTACTACTTAAAGGGGTGTTGCAAGGCTGTAATGCAGGATGCACACGTTTTATGCAAGACAGGTCGAGATGGTATTTGTTGAGGCTCCACTCGTGACATGGAGCTTTTGTCACGTCACCTTTGTCTGAAGAGCCCAGTGTTTGAGATTGAGCTGGGATTTAAGGAATGAATGTAGAGACAATCTCAGTGACTCATGTGAGCACGCTGCCTGCTCAGCTTTCGCCAGTAGCTGCTAACTTAATTCCAGCGTGCTGTGAGATGTCCGTAGTGAATGTTTACATGGAGCTGCATTTCTGGGAAGATGAAGGGAGAAGTGGCACTTCTTCAATTCTAGACACCCAAGCTAGTTGTCTGGCTTTCTAACTGACCAGACTTCAAGCAAGTAAAGGGAATGGTTTTTCCTTGGTTTTCCAGAAACTGAGGCGCCTTCTGGATAAGGTTTTTAGTTGTGGTCCCAGGAGATCTGTCATAGAAAATGCACATCGCTCTGCTGCCTCAGATGGACGGATCCCGGCGGGTGGCACAAGGGAAGCCTTGTGCTCAAGTGTCCACGTGCTTCTTGACCCGAGTGGAGACAGAGGAGCAGCTCTCTGCCTATGGGAAAACAGAGAACAAAGAGACGGCTTGTTTTAAATGACCTACTTG